TGGTGACTCCACATTCCCATCCTGAATATGGATGGACTTGAAGATGTCTTCACATAAAAAGTAAAGCCACGTTGTACATTGCTTGTTCGCACACTTTAGGCATGCAAAACACACACGAGGATACTTGCACAAGCACACCCACAAACACGAAAGACAGGGAGGTGAACTCATTACAGATATTTAAAGAATCTTTTGAAATTGTCAGACGACCGTATAAATTATATCACATACAAGAAAATAAGGAGATAGGAGACAAAGGAGAAACAACACATACTGGACTTGAGAAGACCAGAAACTGGATGTGATAGATAAAGACTTTAAACAGAACTATTTAAATGCAAACAAAGGAATAAAGGAAAACACTGTGAAAATAGAGGAAAGCAGGAAAATGTATTTTACTAAATAGCAGAAATAATGAAGCTAAAGAAATAGAGCTGAGCACACTGTCTCGTGCCTGTAATTACAGCACTTATGAAGAAGAGGTCAATGGCAGCCTGAACTACATACTACATAGTGAGTTCAAGGCCAGCCTAGGCTCTATAAGACTACTCCCAACCCACCAAGCAAATGGAAATGTAAGCCGAATCACAGTTATTTTAACATAAAGTAGAAGGGGCTTGTGGGAAAAGGACAGTTTGAGCTAGGAGAAAACAAACTATAGCACATAAGCACAGTCCAAATGTATTACAAATTATAATATATATTCTTTGGAAATGAGTTAAAACTGAAGTTAAAAAACTAGGTCCCTCTTCTTTTTCTCTAGCTTTTTGGTCTGAAGTACTAACAAAGTACCAACTGACATATAAGACAATAAATAAGAGACCAGGAATAAAATGTATTACCAACATGCAATAACCCTGGAGGAGAAGAATCCTAAAAGGCACTGTTATCATTTGTTAGACATTTCTGTTAGAAACTTCAGAAAATACAGTGATGTCTGAGATCTGGCCCCTCCTCCGTTTAGGAAGCAACAAGCCAGTCCTAGCCAATCCAGTTTCCAATTACAATCATGTTCTCTGAAATCCCTTAACATTCTTAAAGGTTTCAGTGCATTACAAGAGAAGGGAAGTAGATCTGCCTAAGTAACATTGGCAAGCAAACCCCTCAATCAAATTAAAACACTAATGAGGTTTTAATGGTATATTAAAATGACTTTATATTGGAATAGTGGGAGGGGAACAGAGTTCTGGTGATTATGAAACCCTGATAAACTTTGCTTTTATGGCTGATAAAGACAAGCAGAAATCATTTGAACTTCCTTAGAAACTAGGCACTATTTACCAACCTTTCTTTACTGTTTAAAGCTTAAAATAACATTGTTCTATTATTTTTAAGAAGACTCTCAAGCAACCTGCAGAAAAAAGTGATTAAATGATGTTGAAGCATGACTAGTAGCTATTCAGATTATTAGATACCCCCAAAGACTTGCCATTCTTTATTAGATAGAGGAAAATTCTTGATGCAGCAGTAAATCTTTCATTTGCAGCCTTATTCCTTGCCTAATTCATACTCTTGATGTCCATGACAAACAGACTTTCCCAAAAACAACGTCTTTTGCCTACAAGTCCTCCTCATGTCCTTTTGCCTACCCTAAGCCCCCTCCCTGCTCAATTCTGGGATGCATGACTTCCTTAAGGGAGTCTTTTCTGCCCTCCAAGAAGACAGACCCACCCCACCCACTGCCTCTGACTAACAGCACAGGATGGATTTCTCCTCTTCACAGAAATCACACCTGCAGTTTTATACTGAGCTGCACACTTAGCTCATTAGCTTCTTTAACCTTTTTAACAAAAGTTTTGCAGCAGTGTAGTGTAACATCTCCCTGATATAATATAATATAATACTATCCACCTGACTTCCCAGTGCACAGCTCAGTATGGAACATGTCACAAAAGACACATTAGAGTTTTCTTGCTGAATTCCACCGGCAGAGTAACAGTTAGGTATCCCATGCTTCCTGAGAAGACACGGCATCGGCATCCTCACAACACGCCTAACTGCAAAGCATGAACATCGATGTCTGGAGGTTTCAGCGTAAGCTCCCGTGCCCAGAGACTTCATGGCCATTTACAAAGCTTCTTGGTGGGTAACCTCACTACTCACCATCTGTTTATGTGCATGCAATTCTACATAACATTTCGGTTACATGTCGGAAACACCTCTTACCATTAACCTCATTTCTAGAACACTGTCTCACACAAAGCACCTGGAGCTTAGGAACACAGACCTGAAACTCACGCACTGACTACTATGTAAATGTGCAGAAGCATGGTCTGTAACAACGCTAGAGAATTCTGGATGGTCTGACTTTTACCAAAAATTCTGTCTGTAATAAACATCACCACACATGAAAAAGAAACAGCACCTAAACAATTTTCACAGAAGCCCAGGATGTGAAGAAAATCACCAGTCACAGAAGTTCAGATTCTTACTGGCTCATCTGGTTAAGCTGCATTCAAGTTATCTCATTCATTGTGATAATTATGTTATATAAATACGATAAATTTAATTTGGAAACAAAAAAATAAGTTGTTGAGATTTCAGAGCTAGGTGTGGGTGCTAATTCTACACTTCATTTCTACTACCCCAAGGAAGTGACATGAATCTCTTCAGAATGAACTAATATTTTAGTACAAAATTATTCTTCATTTGTTTATTAAACATGGGCTTCTGGGATTTCCTTAGGTAAACTTACTAATGCAAGGTCTTGTGTGTGTGTGTGTGTGTGTGTGTGTGTGTGTTGTATTGTGTGTGTGTTTGTGTGATGTTTAGTTAAATGGTAACTAAAATGCTTCATACATAAAAGCTGCACCTAATAAACAGACTATTAACAGCCACACAGATAAGCAGAAATGGGAAGCCAAAATCTGATGCTACTACTAGAATTAGGAAAAAGAAATGGAGGCCCCATTTCCCTTAGGGAATAAAAGGGAGACTTAAAAATTCAAGGAAGAAATGAGGAAATGAGGCAAGCAAAGACACAGTAAATTAGCAAAAATTATAAATCTAAAATATTGGTATTTACTTACACACCAGACTTCTAAAAGTTTATTCAGACTCAAATCAGAACCAAAATGGAAAGGGAGAAAAGCTTGCTCCTCCCCTGCCCCCACACAGGAAAGGGCCAGCAGGAAGCTGGGCTCTCTCTCTCACAGCCTCCATCTGGCAGCCAGGTCTAGTGGAGTCAGTTCTGAGAACTCTCTAAGTTCCCACTTTCTTTCTGATGACAGAATTTATAAAAACCATTCTCTCAAACCGGGGCAGTAACACACACCTGAAATGCCACTGCATGAAAGCCTGTGAGCTCAGGGTCAGTCTAGTCTACAAAGCAAACTCTGACTCCAAAACAACTCTTCCCTTCTCTCCACACACATACACGCTCCATACGCCTCTCCACACTGAATTCGTCTATACTGTGATACCAAAGCACGGGATCAGAACCTGCACTACTGGGACAACTTTCCCTACGGGAGTATCCAGTGTTCACAACAAGGAAAACTATAGTATTACACAGAAAACAGCCAGAAGCAAACAATTTACATCAGCACTAAGGGGCCCCAAGCTCAAAGCACTGTGGAACCCTTCTCATGGTGAAGTCTTCAGAGACTGTGGATTTATTCATCCAATTATATCCCACAGTAAGGCATTTTGTGAGACGTGAAATACCCGGCAGTAAGTTACTAGAGAGCTCACGGCATATGAAAATGAAAAGAAGAGTTAACAGAATCTACACTCGGGGCATTTTTTTTTTTACACACTGGACTGAAAGCATGAACATAGCACTGTCTTTGTGAAAAACAGGAACCCTAGGAATAACACCTGCGCTGCTACTTCTGGGTACATGTGCTTTCAATTTTTGCTATTCAACCATTTTTCACTGTTTTAGAGACAGGTGCCCTGTTCTCTAAAGTGCTACAGATGCAGCCTCTAACAGCGCAGGAACTAAACCCGAGGCCTCATGTATGACCTTCACCTGTAGACCTCAAGGGACACAGAGTTTGCATTTGCCATATGGCAAGCATGGTGGATTCTGAAAGTACTCTACAGAATCTTGTCTTGACTTGACGTGAGCTTGCTGTGAGTCCGAGCACCAGGCACTTTTGACAACACCAAGGACTGCCCATCTAGGCATATGCTCTTCAGATGCAGTAGCCGACACTGACCATTGCTCCTGGGGGAGGCAGATCTCTGAGCCTTCATCAGTTTATCACCAGCCAACACAAGCCAGGCTTTATGTACACTTCTGTCAGAGGCAGCGCGGTGCCTAAGATCCATTTCGAACAATAAAAAAATCAATAAAAACAAAAAGAAAAGTAGTAGCACTAATTCAACTATGAAAACAATGCTATGTTTGTTTACAGTGTGGTAGGTGTTTGTTCCTTTTCTGTAGGGACATACACATCAGGCAAATAGTTTACCACTCTTCACACCGGTGTAATCCCAGCACCGAGTAGGCTATGGTAGGAGAGCTACAAGTTAAGGCTAGCCAGGCTGCTGTGGGAGACAATGTCTCAAAATCTAGTAAAATAAGACTTTGGGACTTGGGGTACAGTATTTACCTAACATGCACAAAGTTCTGGCTTCCCAGTATAAAACCAAACATGGAGGCTATGGTCCTAGTCCATGGGAGGCAGGGGTAGATGTTCAAAGCCAGCTTCCACTACATAAATTTCAGGTCAGTTTGTGCTCCTTGAGATCCTGTCTCAGCAAAACAAACAAGACTTCAAATGTGCTTCAAGTGTTAACTTAGGGGTTACAAATATAGTTGAAGCAAATGGCTAAATCAGCAAGTACAGTAGATATAACCAGTAGCAACTATGAGTCAGACATTGCAACACAATCTCCAACTCCACTATCAGCAAAAGAAGGTTCTGAAAAACCTGGATGCAAACTCAGATGCTAGTAGGTACCCATATAGACAGAAGAGTTTTAGACATAGTGCTTCAAGACAATGCCCAAAGCTTTTAAAAAGTGATATTTTTCATAATGTTACTTCCTACCTGATATATTCTAAAAGGGATATAACGAAATCCATTTTCTTCAGGTGGATATTCCATGAGTTTCCGGTTGATGGCCCAAAATTGGTCAAATCTGTCTGAAATGATATAAATTCTGTTATTAAGATGAACATCGTTACCAGACTAGCCCAAAGAAGACATGAAAGTCCTAAACATTCTCTCAAATGTTTCTGAAAAGCAATTAGGCATGGTTTACAAACTATTTCTCTTAATGTTAACATAAAGCAAGATATAAAATTACTCTTTCCGTAATAGTATTTCTCTCAAGAGAAACCCTAAACAGGCATGTGACTACTTGTGTTATCAAGAGAAAGACCAGCAGGAGAGAATAACTCTTCATTTAATTTATGCCAATAATCTGTATCAGAACAAATTTGCATAATTTAAATATTACCCATCACTTCTACAGAGAAACCACAGAGCTTCTGAAAGAAATGTGCAACCTGTTGCTGGGGCAAAGTCTGTACAGCACTTGCCTTGAAAGCACGGGAACCAAGTTCAATTTCTTAGAATCTACGTAGAAATGTCAGGTGTGTTGGTTCCTGTTTGTAATTCCAGCAATGTAGAGGAAGGGCGGAACCCCTGGCCAGCCACCTAGCCTAACTGACAGGCTACAGCCAATGAAGTACTTTGTTCTAGGGAGAGGCTTTCCTGACACTGTGAGTGTCCTTTGGGCTCCATGTGCATTCACACAGAAAGAGAGACAGAAATGCCAAGGAGGGATGTAATCCCCCTGGTAGAGCTGGCTTGCCTAACAGGTACAAAGCCCTTGGCTCAAATCACAGAACATGGGAGAGGTGAGTGGAAATAAAATATAGAAGTGCATGTACCAATTGTCAGCTGCAGCTTAATTTGTAATGTTGATTACAATTTAAAAATTTTTCAGGTTGAATTACATTACTAAGTTATAATAATTTGCAGATCATAAAAACTAGTCTCTAAATAAATTTAGAGGTCAGAACATTTATTGTAAATGCAGTCATGCAGTATATGGTCTTTTACAATTATTCTGTGTATATATGCATGCATGTGTACAAGTTTATTCTTGTACCATGTCCAAAAGTTTCATTTATTTTTATGATCAAATAAGCATCTAATTAATGGTAAATAGTTACAAGATTTTGTTAACTGACAAATTTTGGAGCAATTTCTACTTTTGGCTATCATAAATCACATTTACTGGGAGCATCAGTATACACAGTTTGTATGACTATGTTTTTAATTCTCTTGGTGGACCTAAGAATAAAATCCTTGCCTCTTATGGCAAAGCCGTTTAATTGACATTATGGCAATTGAGGAACTACCAAACTGTTTTCCCAAGTAACTGAACCATTTTCCATTTCTACCAGCAATGTTAAGACGTTCTAATCCACACTCGCCACTGCCAGAACTAATCATTTTTGCCCTGTTAATTGATTTTTTTGAGACAGAGTCTCACTATGCAGTCTTGGCTGACCTCAAACGCATAGAGATCCACGTGTCTCTGCTTACCAAGTTCTGGGATTAAAGGTGTGTGTCACCACTGCCTGGCCTTTTTTTTTTTTTTTTTTTTTTTTTTTTTTTTTAATAGTCATCAATGTGGTTTTTATTTGCATTTCTCTAATGGCTAATACTGAGTATCTTTTCATTTGCTTGATGGCCAGTTAGTATCTGGAGATTTCTCTGGAGGAATATCTGAAATTCTTATTTGTTTTAATTTATTATTGTGTGTGATTACAGTCACAAATGCCACATTGCACATGTGATGTCAGAGAACAACTTTTGGGGGTAGGCGCTCTCCCTCTAGCATGGTTCCAGGGATCAAACTCAGGCGTGACAGCACACTTTCACATTTAAAGCACATGGAGGTAGACGCAGGATGATCAAGAGTTCAAGGCCAGCCTCAAAAACAAAGTGTGTTTGAGGGCATCCTAAGCTACTTGAGATCCTGAAACAAAAAGCCTTCCAGCAGAGCTGGGCTTGGTGTCACATAGCTATGATCCAGAGCTTGGGAGGCAAAGGCATGAGGATCACGACAGGTTTCTCGCCATCTTAATCTATATAGCAAGGTCCAGGCCAGCAAGCACTACATACCAAGATCCTATGTCAAGACATGTAAAATAAATCCCCAAAGCAAACTTTATTAAAATAGATTTATGTGTATTCCAACAGGAGAATGAAGGGTAAACATTCAACAAGAAAACAGGCTAATTCTCAACCAGGGAAGACTTGAGATTTAAGTTTAAGATTAAATTTAAGACTTAAGATTTAATTTAACAGGAGATTGGGTAATTGTCTGGAGACATTGCTGGTTGTCAAAACTTGTCTGTGTGCCTAGCAATTAGTGGACAGAAGCCAGGAAAATTGCTACACACTACAATACATAGGACAGCTCTGCCAAACAACTATGTTGACCCAAAAATGCCAAAGGAAGGAAAACAATCACAAGGTACTGAGGGGGATGGGCAAAGTTTCTGGAAAAGACCTCCAAGGCGTAAGTATGTAAACAAAGGAGCACACTCACCCTTGCTCACAATTCACCCTGCAGCACGTGCACTACAGTATGAGCTCAAATCCTTCCCAAGTCTTTACAGTGGCAACAACTTACAGATTTCTCAGCAAAGCGTGCTGAGATTCCAAAGCAAGAGGCTCCTCTGCAGTTTCCAATGCTTATAAGATGGGTCGGTGTCATTGGGTGTAGTAAGGGCATCAAGGGAGAGGTCACTCCCTCACACAACCAGTCATCATTCTTCTTAGGAACACAGAAGGCAGCACTCAGAAAGCTTCCTGCCTATAAAATGGCGGAGGCCCCAAAGTGGGGCACCATAGTGCCTTCTGGCTCCCTTGTGCCCTGTCACCTTCTGCTAATCAGCTACACTCCAAAATACCCTGGCTATATGTGGAAATTCAGCCTGTTAACTAGACTACCCAACTGAGCTGGAACCCCAGTCTCAGGAAAGGGTTCCACACAAACCTTTCCTCTTCCAGCCCTAAGCAGTATATATGTCGTTTTCAAGTAACTAATAGTCGCTTTTTGTAAGTGTTAGAAACCAGGTGTTCCCTCCAGGCTGCCTCCATCGACTCAGCACCAACAGCCACACCTGCTGCCAAATAAGACACATTTCCTTTGTTGCCAGGAGTCATGTATTCTCCCTATGTGCACGCACTATACCCCTTTAAAAGCCCCTCTCCCCCCATCCCTGTTGGTCTCTCTGTCTCTCTCTTGTCCCCACTCAAAGGCAGCCTTTTGCTTCCCCCAAACCCCAATAAGCCCCTTTTGTGTGTGTGACTTAGTGGTGCACCTCGGGCCTGATCTTCCATTGTGAAACCATAACACTGGTGGCGTGTGACTTGGTAGGATATCCCGGTGTCTGTGTGCCCCCCATTGGGTGTTTAAGCCACACTGGGACCCTACCCCTTATCTACAGCCCACCTGCAACAGACTCTCATTTCACCTCATCCAGCAGTGGCAATTTAAGATTCCTAGGCCACTGAGTGTCAGGCACCCCTCTGATATTCTTGGAGGCAGAGTTAGCCCTAGCATGGCCTTCAAGGCTACAGTTGACCCTCTTTGCTGACCCCACTTCTGATCCTTTTGATTTTTAGCTCAGTTTTGCTTTTTTGGCTTCATTAGAAAGTCCTGGTACCAGGCACCAAGTCTCTTTGGGCTCTGACCTCTGTGTAGTGCAGTGCCGATCCACTGGATGGCTTGTTTGGTCCCCGAGTCTTGGGGGATGCACATAACCACAACTCATTTGTTACCCCCTGTAGTGCCAGCTCAGAACCAAGCTGCTGACTTAATTCTAAGGTCTGTACAGATCATTTATTTGTGAACTTGATTCCAAATTCTACAATCGGATTCTTCAGCTGCTATTATAATCTTTTTGAACACTGTGAGGATGTGTCTTTGGCAAGGTGGATGCTGACTGGTTCAGTAAAAAGCTAAGTGGAGGTACATAGCTAGGTAGGAGGCATGGGAGAGAGCCAGACAGAGAAAACTCTGGGAAGAAGGGGCAGCCACCAGTCAGATGGAGAGGAAGCAGCATGGGCAGTACAGAGTAAAGGTAATAAAACCACGAGGCAAAAAGTAGGTTGATAAAAGTGGGTTAATTTAAGTTGTAAGAACTAGCTAGTAACAAGCCTAAACTATAGCTGAACTTTCATAATTAAGAAGTGTCCGTGTGCTTATTTGAGAGCTGGCAGGAGGGACAGAAAAATCAGCCTACAAGCTGCTGATTCTTCAGCTGCTGCTTCCCTCTGACTTGCTGTGCCCCCCACCATGTGGGTACCTACCTGCTTGTCAGCTCCTGGTTGCTCCTCCTAGTTCCTTAATCTTTCCTCCCTTTGCCCTATGCTATGTCTGGCTCCTGGATCCAGCTTCTTTATCCTTGGTGCTCCCACCACCTGGGCAACCTTTTCTCTCGGCTCTGGCCTTCTGGACACCTATGGAATGTACTCTCTCCCTTGTCTTCACTCCCCTGGATACCTCTGGCTCCAGGCTGCAGTCCCACAGCCTCAGCTCTTATCTCCTTCTTGGCACTTATAGGAACACACCCACACAGTTTTCTGCTTTGCAACGTGCTCTCTTCCTCCATGGACTCAGATGTGATTACTACAGTCTGGCCTCAATACAGATCAATGGCCAAAAATTGGCACACTTCACTTCCAAATTCTCATAGCTCACAGAAACTGCACAAAACAAATGATCCCCACATTTCTCCTATCTAAATGCACTCTGCTCTCTCTACACTTCCAAAAGCCTCTGAACTCCAAGGTTCTCCTTCCTACTCTAAAATCATTTATCTCTATGATTTCTCTGCAAAGAACTATGCTATAAAATCTTATTTCAGGATTTATAAGTTGTTCATTGGATATAGTTTAAAATCCACAAAATCTCTAAAGAAAAAATGGCTTTAAACTTATAACAAAAGGCTTACAATTAAAAATTATACACATGGGTGTATATATATGTGATTCAATTCTTGTTTAGGGTGTGTGTGCGTGTGCGTGTGTAACTTGGATTCAACTCTTACTTAAAAAAAAAAAAAAACACCCAAATATTGTGTATAAATGTTTGTTTTCATTTAATTGGACTTTG